ACGGGCTTTACGCGCATTGCGAAACGCGCGTGTACCCTCCGACAGCCTACCCGGCGACTCGGCAGATTCTCCAGTCTCGGTTTTCACCGGTGTCGTTTGACTTTGATCTTATTGTTAGTTCGAGTCATCTTTTATCTTCTATTTCAACTGTCCGCTCGGGAGAGACAAAAGATGATGTAACCTGAGGGCAAAGTTAAACGACGCTGGTAAAAACGGGCGCGTAAATCTCGGCGGCACTTTTCAACGCGCGTCGTTCAGCTACGTTGCAATAAAAAATTCATTAGCATAAATCATTTTTATTAACTAGTAAGAATATTCTTTAAGTCGCCAGAAGTGAAAAATTTTTATTAAGATCACCCGGAGTTTTACATGCTTGTCCGAGCGTTGACGACTCGCCTAGGAATGCGGAGCAGGTCAAGCGCTTGACTCATTGTGCAGATGCCTCCGCTTCGGGGAAGGCCAAGAAAGCCCTTTCCGGAAACCGGCAGGCCCACCCCAGACGACAGGCATCTTGTGTCGAGCTTGGGACTTGGGGACCCCACGACAGAAGCGACTCCGACTCGCGTTTCTCGGCTCGCTGGCGGCTCCGCTTTCTCGTACCACCGCTACTTGTGTTCCGCTCGAGCGAGAGCGGCCCGTGGCTCGCGCGCGATCGACGTGAAAAAAGACGATAGATCACTTACGAGTCGAGAGAGAGAGAAAGAGAGAGGGGGAGAGAGAGAGAGAGAGATATGTATAAAATACAGAAATGAACGTGGAAATGAGGGACGACTAAAGTAACATGGCGTGAAGACACAAAGTGGAGTCTCTTAAAATGGACGATAACAATATTTCGAAATTGAACGATAACGATTTCGAAATAGAGAGCAGAGGAAAATTCCTCTATTACAAGAATTCTAATACGAGATAGCAGATTTTCAACGTTCAAATTCAGTCACAAATCTCTTTTTGCAACGATCCAACAATAAATTTTCCACTAAACAGATTTCGCTCCGAGGGCGATAAATTCATGACGAAACCAACGGACGATGCCTGTTAATTTAGCAGAGACTCTGCCGTCTCACATTAATAGCCTATCTCATATAATAGGTAACTTTCCTCTATATTTACAGTAAAATCATGGTATATTCACTCTCTGCCGGCTCTTTTTGATCCCGTTTCGATCCCGACCACGTGGTATACCGTCATGACTTTGGTCGTCCCCACGGGATGACGTGTAGCACCGCGCTAACACGAGTGATCAGCAATGGTAGGGTCCTCGATTCGAGCCCAGCCCTCGTCCCGCACATTTTCCCGTTAAGGGAAATTTCATAAAATTCACCGCTCGAGGGAGTTTAAGCGCCTAGCGTAGCAAACTGCGACACGCTGATTTCACTCTTCCACACATACAACTTTTCTCTGATTGGTCTGACCGAAATAATGTCGGATGCGCAGAAGGGATCGTCGTACAACGAAACAAATGGCGGAGTGTGCATACTAGTTATTCTTAGAGACCCTGTAATCAGAGGCTGGCCATAAGAGTTCGTCCAATTCCTGCGAGTGAGGATCGTTACACGGTCTCTAGTTGTACCACGATATGATTCATTCTTCCCCGCGGAGGATTAATTATCGGATCTACGAGACATGGGACGAAATTCATGATAAAGTCGAACACACTAACGCCGGATTTATCGCTCCATCTTTTCGTACCTTATCTTACGTTTTTTTTATCTTCCCGCATTTTGTCTTTCTATTATTTTCATTGACACGTTAAGGTACGTCGAAAGTCGAAACACGAGGCACGCGCGTAATGGCGCCTCCATTCGTTGTTTCGATAGCTCGAACGGGCGTGCGCGACCCCGGGCACGGTAGATAGGACCGCTTTCCAGTTTCCTGGACGAGATAAAGCTATGATAAAGAACCCGGCGAGAGGACCTTGCGCCTTGATATCGGGAGTCCAGATGTGCGTGCACGCAGCATTATCTACCGCCTCCGTGTTTCATGAAAGACATTAGAGTTCTCCGCCTCTCTGCGCTCAACGTTAGAAATGGCCGTGTAAATACCGTAAGGAGTAGTAGGCGTCTCTCGTAGAGAAAAATACTCTTGAGAGCCTCTCGAGTAGCTCACGTCGTTATTGGAGAATTTAAATCTTGACACGCGATAAACGCAGGAGAAAAAAGTGTAAACGTTGCACAACGGAAAACAATAGCGGAGTAAAATGATAAAATACAATTAATAAATAAAAGAGCGAAATGTTCTATCACACATCTATGTGGCATTAAAATTATAATTTTGACGATTTGACATAGTATTTTCAAGTTACATTCTCTTCAGTTATTTACAGTTGAAACAAAAAGAAGAATAAAGCGTCGCACTCCTAACGCTAATCGGTATTGGCCGTGAGAAAACAATGGTCTACCTCTAATCTCCTGAGTTACACACGCTTGGAAAACCGTTTCTGACGTCGATTTCTCGACATCCGCGGTCTAAAGGCAGCCTCCGCGGTCGATTGCTCAACAGCCGTCACTCTCAAGGCCCTCGAAGGAACGTCAGAACGGAACGTTCCTTCCGAATCGTAAATCAAAATGAACGTTGTCTCGAAATCTATTGTGTCTGACAAAGAATATTTTTCATGCTATTTAACAAAATTTCTTTGCAACTCGCAAATACGCGCAACTATCGAGAATAGAATCAATTTATAACTCTCAAAGTTAAATGTTAAGAACAGGATTAGTTCACAAGAAAGACGAGAGAGAGAGAGAGAGAGAGAGAGAGAGAGAGAGAGAGAGAGAAAGAGAAAAATGATAAAAGTAAAATTACAATAACCAATCTTTAAAATTCTAAATTTCATTCGACCACACCTGGCCACATCTGTTAATTAATCGGTCAATGCGGAAAATTTATTGGCGAAAAATATTACCTCAGCCAGGATATGAACCTGGAGCTCCCTTACTCTCCAGGCGGGCGTCTCGCCAATTCG